AAATGTTTCGCATCGTATGGCTAGGTTTTCTCATTTGCCATTCTATTCACGCCATTTGTTTCCCCATATTGCACACGAACACAAAAATGGCAATTGTACACAAAACAAAACAATAAAAAGTATTTCAGAAAAAATTATATACACGTAATTTACATCCGCATGAGGGGAATTAGGAAATGTTTTATTCGCACACGCATACTCAATGGCACACAATAGAGGAAAGCGAGCAAAGTCATGAAATTACGAAACACCGACAATTGGGACAGGCAACTTGTCTTTTGACGCAAATGTACTTTTATACTTTCTTTGTGTGTGACAGAGGTTGGCTAATCGACCATTTGGTATTTATTAATAGTAAAATATATTCACTTTTAACAATTTCACTGTAGTCCCTTTAGTTTAGTCGCATTCCATTAAAATATCGAAAGAAAATCGATTTTGTCTGTTAGTTTTTTTGTTTTTCTCGAGTATTGTTTGGTACATGCATAAATTATTAATCGTCTTCTCCCTTCAATTCATTCAAATTTTACACGCTTTCTTTCTCTTGTGAAACACACATCCCGAACGAAGAATCGTCAAATGCCTATTTATTGAATCTACATTGTCTATTGGCATTTACAATAGTACACGAAACAATGGAAGTTCGTTTATCGCATCTCTCGCTTTCGCAAACACTCGAAGGCAACGCGTCATCGAATTCGGACGTGCTTGTTTATCGAGCGGCCACTTCTCGGTAATAAATTGAATGGCTCCTGCTTCTTCTTATGCTGCTGTTGGATGAACGAACAATGCGAAAAGAGCATAAATCAAATTAGCGTTTTGTTCTTTGTCCTATTCTCTTTCGTTTTGGCACAACAAAAACTTGTATTGTTTCACCAATTCCACTTGAATAAAAAAACACACACTCTCAGGAGACGAACTCCCTTTCAGTTGCTGAACTTTTGCATTCGTTTTTATTCTCCATTTCTCTTGGCCGTTTTTATCGAGAATAGGAAACGAAACGCCAACCAGTTCAAGTTTTGATGAGAAAAAATAGAGAAAACGATTGAAATCACAAACACGTACGATACGGATCAGTTGTTTTTAGTGTGAACATGAACACGCAGAGCATTTCGATGGAATGGTGTAAAATGTATATGTTTTGACATTTTAAAGCCGAAAACACTTTGAATCTAATACTTATTTTACGACTATAAAAACTTTAAAGGCATTTACTTCTCAGCATCGACTTTAACGGATAATTTCGAAGCATCCATCCTTGAGGTCTTAAATATTAAATAATATCAATACATTCGTCGAATTCAAGCATCGGATTTTGAGAATATCGGCAAACGCTCTTTTCAATAATAGAAACTTTGTATTCGGATCAAGTCGCATTCAGTTCAGTTTGTGCAGTAGCTAAGATATAAAAAAAAACATGGAATTTATCAATTTCAGATGATCTGAATAACACATATTTCACAACGTTCTTTTTTTAAAACGAAGATTGAAACTTTTGTATATTTTTTTTGAGAATATTGTGACTTTTCCGTGGACTTTTCTCAATTGGGTTTGAGTCAAGTTCATTGTGTGTGTTTTTGTTGGAAAAAGAATGAGCAGAAATGTTCTGACGAAATTATTTTGTGTTGAATAAAATAATTAAAAGTGAATCCATACCCATTGTGTCGAGAAAATGTTCAATGGCTTCACAATGTCATTGGAATCTTCATTGTGCATACATTTTTGTGCAAATAAATGTCAGTGATGAAGTAATTCAAAACATTTCCTGTAAAGCTATACAATTCCCATTTCAGATGGTGTGAACATTGATGATTCAATAGTATACATTGAAAGTATGCGTTTGCATATTCTGCGTCGTATTTGAAAAACGAATTAACATTTTCGTCATTTATAGACGATTCCGATTTGCGACTAATTGAATCCATGCCTCAGAACATTAAATAATAAAGTAAAGCTTGTGACCGTAATAAAAAAAGACTTGGTAATAACATGACAATCTGTTGCCACTTTTAAAATGTAAACAAGTAAGGAGAAAAAAACGGCCGTGTTTAGACTTCCGTCATGTCGTCTACATGTTACAAACTTGTTTTTCCGCATGGTGATTCGCACAGATGATGAACAAGAATAATAACTCCGAAGAATGGTGCACAATGCCTATTGATGCGACCAAATGGGGCCAAGGTTCGATTCACTTGTTCGTTCGTTACATGCATTTTTTCTTAGCAATAGACTTCAGTCGATGACTGTATTTTACAAAGTGAATGTCATGTTTTATGTCAATGTTTCTCGATGCAGACAGTGCAAAACAAAGGATCATGCAAAAGGTTAATAATTGGTTTGCAAGTAGTCAATTCGATACCAGAGCATATACTGAGCATAGATATATATCCGGGATATTTTGTGAGCATCCGATATTTATCGCAGCCAGACATTATAATGGAGTGAAAACAATAGAAGTGATTGTTATAGGTCTAAGTCAGTAATGTGCGAAGGGGGAGGGTAGGGGGGGGGGTTTACCCCCCCCTGTGATTTGGATGTGAAATTTTTTTTCGCGAAAATTATTCGAATTTGCTAGGGTTTTTGATTCTAAAAGTGAAGACCTTTTTTTTTTTTTTTTAGCTCATCAAAGTAAAAAATTGAGGAGAATTCTTTCAATTTCCTAGGTTTTTTGGTTCAGAGTGAATTTTTTCTGATTTGCTTGGGTTTTTCGCGGAGAAAATTCTTTCGATTTGCTAGGGATTTTCGCCTCAAAAAGTGACTTCCAAAAAAAAAAAAAAAAAAAAAAACGAAAATTTGTCTGATTTGCTAGAGAAATTTTTGGTTTCGAAAAACCACCCCCCCCTGAAAAATTTTCCTCGCACATTACTGGTCTAAGTATAAAACCATTTACATTACTACAATCACTATAACAATAACTTCTATTGTTTTTACTCTATTTTAAAGTCTGGCTCCAATGAATATCGGATACTGACAAAATATCCAGGATATATATATCTATGCTTAGTATATGCTCTGTTCGATACATAACAAGGTTAGAATGTATGTCTGCAGTCTCGTAGACCTTGTTCAATGCGTGACGTAAATGTGTGTCTCAGTGAAAAGCGCATGAAAATCAAATAAATCAATAAATTGAAAGATGTTTGCTAATTGAAAATACCAAATATCTTACCGACATACAACATACTGACTATTTCATTCAGCATTTCAATATTGCAACGTCATTTAATGCGTAGCATATGGGAAAGGCGAAAGTGTGTTTTGCAACAAAGTGTCAAAATTCTCTTCAGTCAATTTTCATTTCGGTGAAAATCGAACTCCGAGGGCGTTAAGCGTTGAACCAGTCACTGAATATAGATTGATGTTTTGACGACCTCTTACGCAACAAAGTTGTACAGAAAATCCATTAATAATAAACACTGAATATTTTGAATGGTAAAAATAGACTCGGATTCAATGGGTCTTATTTACTTTGGATTTATTTACTTTTACCCGATTCGGGACCCGAACGTAATGTGTATGTAATTCAATTAAATGTTTGACGAAGAAAAGAGAATTCAACGTCATTGATGCAGAATCTTGTTGTTTACATTTTCGCATAAGTTGAACTCCAAAACATGCATTTCATTGAATTAAATTCTGTATGAGCACCCGTATCTTAACATACATTGTTCATATGTAGCACCAATGATTGATTTACTAATATTGGCTCAACTGCTTGACTGGCAATTTTACTTTAAATCAAACATAATCAAAATAGTTTCCAATCCAATACTGAATAATTGACAATGCCATTAAATAAACCCATTCATCGAACATTTTACAGTCAAGGTAAGTAATTGTTTGAACCATTTATGATTCGATTTATATGATGAGTGCACGCAGCCACAAGCCCAAGAATTGGTGCTAACCGAAGTGCTAAGTCTTACAAATTTTCAATAAAGCGATAAAGGTTGTGGCATGTAGGTGTGAAGAAAGTGTGCGAACAACGAATTACACATCATTTAACCCAATTAATTCCTGACGTAATTTCCCATAAAATCGAACAATTTTGTAACAACAGCAACAGCGAATAGAATTGGCAGATTAACACACATACAACACTAAAATACACGATGCACGGAATATCTCCTTTTTTCACAGTCGAAATGGTTTCCGTGTTTTCACTTGCGTTTTATGCTATTAACTCAAGCATTATGGTTTTACACATATTTTGCTGTTGTTACAAATTGTTGTTTCTCAGCATGAAAATCGATTGAAATGTAAAGAATTGACGCGAACACATATTAAAATACAAACAAAATGCAACATTGTTGGCTGTTTTATTTTCTTGCATAAGCCACCATTCAGAAGTCGCTTTAAAGTCATCTCCCTCACATTGTTCGATTAAGGTATTTTCTACAGAATAATTTGTGTTTACAGATGACAGCCTTTCGATGGTTGCTCTGGTGAATGTTGAGAATACATTATCGCATGTCACTTTGGCGACCGAATGACCGTTCCACAAAGCCGTTGTATTGAATTTGAAGGCTTTGAATCACTTAAACGACATGGTTCGCAATTGTTTCGATGTGTTTCACATTTGATTACAATTTCGTGATAAATGTCATTTGTTATTTCAATGTACGAAATACAAACATGCAACAGCAATACATGTAAACAAATAATCCCTTCAAATAAATTATTTGAGACAAAAAAAGAATGCCGATAGCACTCCGAAATTCATCTGTTTACATCTACAGTTTAAAATGACAAATAAATGTGTCACCGAATTGAATTCAACAGCAATTTGTTTATTTCTGAATTCGATTGAAATTGATTTACGGCCCAAAAGCAGCACCGAACAACAGCAATTCGTGTTGATGGGATTTTCACACATACAGCTCAACACTCACGAGTAGTTTTGTGGTTGTCACGTTGCTATTGGAATTTTTGACATTGCAAATACACGCACACACTGTTGATGCTGTTAATAGGAATGTCGACAATGTTGTTTTGCATGCACCAATTAGCATTTCGGTGTCGTCGATATATGTTCAATTGTCAATTCACTCAGATTCAGTTCACTTTTTTTTTTCATCTACATTTGCTCGATATTTCGTATTTGCAAAATTTGTGCTGAATACTTCTTTGAAATCATCTCTTCGAACGATAATTCAAAAAAAAAAGAAAACGCTTACAATGAAAACAAAATACAATGTCTCATTGGAAAACACGTTTATTGGTCCGATCAGTGCGGCTCCGGATAGCCTTCTCGTAAGTATTTGCATCATGTGTCTCGTTTGAATAGAAAAATGAAACGCAACATTTTTGGATGAATTTTTCGATTGGTACAGAAAGAGATGGCGGGCAACTTCACGGGCAATAACAACAACGTTAACAAATTTCCGTCGGTGTTTTCGAGCCCAACCTATGAATGTTGGATGAAATCGCCGATAATGGGTGCACTACGATTATATGCCGGTCATCACAAACACACATTTTGCACATTTTCTCGGTCTATTGTAAGTTTCCGCTTGCCAATGTTCCAATCGTTGTCAATGCTAATTTTATTGTCGCTTCCATTACAGACGTGCAGAGTAATCGAAGGTCAGATAAAGGTTAAATACGGTTCACAACGACAAACTGTCACGAAAAATACTATTATTAAACTGTCACCAAGTAAGATATTTCGATTGCGTTCAACATTTTGATAAATATTCTAAATCGAATTTTTGAATTGTGATTTCTCTTCAATAGATACCAGATACTATGTGAAAAACAACAGTCTGCACAGAGAATGTTTGGTTGAATTTATATTCGAAGAAATGTGATACATCCAATTGGTTATTCAGATAATTTGCAATCAAACTGTGTTCATCGTTCGGAAATCGATCGTTTTTGTATTGTAATTCATTTGTCTATTTATAACGCAACCGATTTATCATTTATTCATATTTAAACAAAAGTTGAATCATGTATAATTTATTTTAAAAAAAAGTAGAAAATAATATGTAAAATAATCGAAATTGATATAATTCTAATTATTATGCACATATAATGCTGTCTATTAAAAAAAAATGTGGATAATGTTTGTTTAATTTTTTTTTTCAATAAAATAATAAATCTAGCTCATGAGCTCAAAATGGCGAAAGAGTAATATTAACTGGGTCTAATTTGTTAATGGATATTGATTAATTTGTTGTTATAATTTCCGCATTAATCTTTGCGCTTAGTTGAATCCAGTTCGATGATGTTGGAGTCACGGCATTTATTTATTTTTCGCAACTGAAGAGACCAAATGTGTTTGAATGAATTCCGATATCAGTGACTTTTTGAAATCGGGTAGACCAATTGAATGCATAATTTTGTTAATAATTTCTTCAGTGATAAGTGTTTATTTTTTGTCGCACGTTCATTTGTTATTTCTTGCTTTTGTATTGAATTGTTTGTCTGGAAATTTGTGAATTGGTTGCGGCTATTTAGCATAAATGACATTATTTATGTTAATGCTACTGGTGTCGCATGCACGCTTCACATATTTATAGTTCATTACACACGATTATACATTTGATTTGGGGCAGCATGTTTCCATGAAATTATTCCACGAGTTTCGCTTTAGCACAGCGAAAATTGGAAAATTTATAGTGGGTGAAATCCACTTTACGTTCAGCACATCTACAACGACATGGTATATAAAACATTTTTGAACATCACTCTGTGATGTAATGCGTATTATAACATTGAACACTGCATTTCTTTTTTTTTTCAATTAAGCCATAGGCAAATTAACCATGTACAGCATACAAAATTGAGAGAATCACGAAGCTCATGCTATGAACCAGCTATTTATCTCAATGCAAATGACTATTTGTGGAATTATTTTGACTGCGTTGTATTTACATTGTGCTATATTGTTGGCTCGACTCTTCATTAAATTCACTTAATTTGCTTTCTCTTCCAGTTCAATGATATGCACTGTCAGCGTTACTCTGTGAATTTCCCATTTTCCCGTTGCCATTTGACGTCAGCCAAGCGGCGGCATTACGTGATAAATTCAGCTTTTGATTATACAACACAAACAATGACGGTACAATATACATATCTGACATTTTCGCACAAGAAATTGTAAAATACGTCCACCGCATAGGACAACGCTTTACTGTAGTTATTTAATGGAGCCGATGCCACTAGTTTTCATGCTATAATTAATTTTGTTTCGCCGCGATGATATTGGAAACATTCATTAGATAATAATGAAAATATAAATATTTTGGTAAACAAAGCATTGCCGGTACTATTTTGGGGCAATTTTGTATTAGCCAAAGCATGCATCTGCGTAAATACTCGACTGATGTGATTCAGTGTACGATATCAGCAAAAATCATTCAATTTCACAATTAAATCTATATTTACACAAAACGTTCGAATTGCAACATACAACCACGGCTACCACGATGGTTTTATCCATCAAAATTCTATTAATATATAAATGTAGTAAATTAACCGTGATGTCAATTCCATTTTCAATGTGGTGGCTTAAATGTCTATCTACGAATTCATTTGTCATGCTAAATGTGTTGTTTGCATTATTGACCATGGTTTTAATAATGAAAACTCATTTTTGCAACGCGCGTACAGTTTTTTTGTTATCTCGCTGAACTTATCTGTATATGGAAGAGGAACATTTAGCTGACGATATCAAGTATAAAGCTTATTTGATGAAAAGAAAGAAAGAAACAAATCGTGAGGGGTGGAAATGATGACGCAAATGGGTACCGCAGAGCAGCTGTGACCATTCATCAAAACGTATCTTATGCCAACAACTCGACAAAATTGATTTTTAAATGCTGTTCAATGCGTTAAATTGAAACATGGAGAGAGGAAGAGATACGACGGTACGGCGAATAACATCGATATTGTTCGACTCGGATTCAATTCCACTTGAAATACTTTTTCTCGAGTTGAAATTGAATCGAATCTAGTTTTACGTTTAAGGGATTTTTTTCCACTCAAATAAATGTTGAAAATTGAATAACGTTCAATTCAGGCATTCTATTGCCTTTGATGTGAAAGGTAGACAAATAATAGAAAGATACAAAAAAAAATCTTCCTTTTTGTTCGAATTTAATTCCATTTCAATATGATTAGATTGGCTATTGAATTCAAGTTCAAGGCAAATGAAAAGACACTCAATTAGACTGTGAATTTTCATCATATTATGCGCAATATATTCCATCAATTAACTATGGTCATAATTGTACTTTGTCATTTATCAATTATGGGCGGATAGACACGCAATTGTTGATAGAATACAAAATACATGCACAAACAAATTCATTATGTGACAATATGTGTTTGTTATTTGTAACAATCGAAAATTTATCGTTGATATGTTATCATGTATCGAAAGTAAATGAACTTGAATCATCGAAATGCCCACAATATTGTCGTTGCCATACAATAGATTCTAAAACATATTTGTTGCGATCTATGTTAATAGTGCAGCTTTTCAAGTCGTACATAATCAGAAAAAGGCAAATATAAGAAACGAAAAGCCAGAGCCCCAGAGCAGTAAGACGACAGGGCCAATTTATTGGCATGTCAATAGAGTATTAACTTGATACTGGTCGTATATATGCCGACCAATATGCTTATTTGTGGACACAGTATTGGATTTGTGATTGATACAAATCATTTTCATAGCTCTAGTCGCCGAAGTTAAATCGATAAAATGTTTGGCAACGCCAATCGACTTATGTCCACAGCGATAGATGAGAACCAAAATCCATTGTATCCATTGATATAATTGTTATTCATGGATTTCATTGTGTTCGTTCGCCATTTGAACATCCGTTTCGATCGAATACTAACAAAACATATAAACCATGACGCAAACGGAAGGAAGGATTGAGGGATTTTGTGTTTTGAAAAAGCCGACAACGGCTTAATAATAATTAGGAAACATTCCGTCGACAAAAACACCATAATAATGCCATTAAGTGATTTGCAAATCTGTGACGGAAGCAATCGATATTTTTTCATTCTACTAAAAAATCCTTGATCCATTGGTCGTATTTACTTAATTGCCTTCTGTTCTGAAATGTTTTGCTGCATGAATTTATGGCGCTTTTACTATCGATTTGTTGAAAAGCCAGCCGTAAAACGAAGTTTCTTCATCCAAAGTCTCATAAATAATTTGAAATTATGGTAATTGTCCAAACCACTATGTATCAGTCAATGTCTTTGAATAAAAGATTAAAAATTAAAATGTCTGCTGTGAAATGAGACAGAGCAAAAGAGAGAGAGGGGGGGGGGGGAAGAGAAGGAGACGGGTTGGTTGAAGAAAGAATGACAAATATCTTGAATATAATCAAAATAACAGATTGCTTCAAATGCTGATGTATGTACAATGACATTCATAGAGATTTATGATATGTTTCACACGCAATATAAAGAAGTGCCTATAATGGATACCACGGCCAGCCTCTTTGAAAATGAATGCAGGATTTGTCTGTTAAAGTTCACACAGGGAAAATCTATGTCAAACTGAGTTCAACATCAGTAGCAGTTAGTTCGAGACTATACCATTTTGAGTGTTATAGTGTCGGTTGAGTTACATAACACAGACGGAGCAAACGATGTAAGCTATTCGTTGTCACTTTTTTTCACTTCAACAATCTGTTTCATCAATCTTCGAAAGTCGTGTGGAAAGGCACCGAATTTCATACCCAGAGAGAATTAATTTATTAATACAAATGTATTTTAATATAGGTAGCCATTTGAGCAAGAGTGTCTGGCCTTCAGTTTGTCGCATCGCTCACATTTAATAAGACAAATTCAGTTGAGCATTTTATTTTAATAAAACTATATTAGTTTTTCGGTGGGGATTATTTCCATATTTGATGAATGAATCATAAATCGTGCGAGCTATTAATCATGTCCGAAAGCAGCTGGACCATTTGTTGATTGAAATTTAGGGTGCTCCTTTTATGTTAACGATGATAAACGTGAGGCTTGAGACATATTCATGCTTGTCATAAGCTGAGAACATTTATTCCCATTCATACATAGCATAAAGGAGATTTGCATTCAGTTTCAAACATATGGAATCTTTGTGTTTAATTTAAAATTTACAATAAATTCAACAGACAAGACCAAGTTAGAATTTAGCCGTTACAAAGTTTTTCACAAACATCTCCTGATTCGAGGTCGATGTGGTATAATGGACAACCTGCGGCAATGTACAACATGCGTAATTTTAAGTAATTACGTTACCAACACAATATCAACTTTGTTTTCAGCTTGAAAATGTCACAATCCACCACATCTCCGAAAAAAATACAATAATAATTCAAAATAATTGGAGGTGACAAGCACAAACTTTGTTACATTTTTTCTCTTACGTATTTAGGTTAATGCTCTCTTATATAGAGGTTGCTTTGGTTTCTCTCTACTCAATTTACGCAAAGTTATAAATAGAGAAACATAATGATTTACTTGTTACTACCGTGTTATACAGGTTTTCTGTTGCTTTCAATAGCAGATAAAATGGATTGAACACAAGATTCACCCACGTTGTTTATATTTTATGACATTAAAACTGATGGGAGCAAATATTGTCCAGCGTGTTACATAATTTCCTTCGGAAATGTGAGAATGGATCCCCGATGCACATGACTTCAATTTGATATCAATTTACGCACGCATGTATGTGTTCAACATCTATTAACATTATAATGCAGTTATTGAAACAAAAACCACAACGGTAAATGCGCTTATCGACTATTAGAAACGGTATACATGTTTACATGTATTTGTTCTCTGCTAACAAACTATTGCCAATATTTAATGTTTAACCAACTTTAGCCACTCACTCTCTTTCTTCGACATACTTCACCACTTTCTGCATCAATAAGCAAAGTTTCTTGTTCGTTTATTCTTCGTATGCTTTTTGATGATGCTGTTAATGTAGACAAATAAAAGATCAAAATTTACGTTGTGCTCACATTTGTACTCGGGAAAATCGGATGTTCAGCTCAAGCCTCTATCAATTTACACCACCATTTGCCCAGATTGTTATCTACTTTGGTTGGTTGC